TCAGATGATTTCTATGTTGGAAGAGGCAAAAGCTACACTGAAGGCATCAGCCCACCGAACGAAAAACAAATCGATGTGAGACGCTCACAAACATGACTTTCCCTGAAGGCATCAATCCGAGTTTCTGATTGACTGAGAGATTTTATTTTTAAATAATTGTTCTCAAAAAATAAACTGAGTATGTGAAGAATAATTTAACATTGTTTACAGTGATAACTGCTCATAGTCAAAACGAAGCTTACTCATTCACGCTAGTCACAATAAACATACTCTTGAATAGGCGTCAATGACTACGGTAAAACTTAGACTCTATTTTAGGCATCAGGAATGATTGAAATGTCCGAAAATGACACCAAAATACACCTTAAAAGTCCCATTTTATTTTTTTTCTAAATCCCATCCCGAATTTACGGCAGAATCTGGTCCCTTAAATAAGGGACACGCAAGCTTTGATTCTAACACCGGACATATTGCACTGGGTCGGGGAGATACAAACTTTTGTGCATCTTTTGTCCAATGGGTATCTGTACTTCGATCATTCGCAAGTTTTGCTCGGTGGTGCGAGACAGCTTTGTTTGCAACCGGACGAACTCCGTTTAATTCAATGAAGCAAACAACTGACAATGCAACTGATAAATTGCAAAGGAACGCTAAAATTAATTGAAAACAACCAAATAATTTCAATGAAAAATAAATCACAGAGAGAGGTAACTTGATACATTAACAACTCTTTTGACGCGCTGACCGCCTCTCCACGTCTGATGTTTTGTTTTCCTTGTCATAATACTTACTGATTGATGATTTTGTTTTGATTTTTTTTAGCCTGCAACTCGGCCACGACCTTTGCTTTTTCCGTGAAAAATGGGGAAGTTTACGTCAATTTGACGGACATTCCATTTTTTTTAAACTAACGAAGCACACTGTTTAGCACTCCCATTTTTTTTCATTTGCCGATTTCTATTCAGAAAAATTCGACCGCTCGAAAATGCACCTTAATTTTGCACTCTTAAAACATGTCAGATTTCCAACACTAATTATTTAAAACTGGTCGAAATTTTAAAACTTTTACGTTAGGAGCTGGAGCTCTCTTCTTGCAGGCGACCGACGCCGGTAGTACAAAAGCATGTTTTGTACCTACATCCGTGCGCTGATTGTCTGCGACTGTCTTAGAAAATCCCTGAATAAGGCGTTGCCAAAATCGGAAAAAATAAAAAAATGCCTCCTTAAATATTTCTTTTAACAAATATGTTGCAGTGGGAAAAATGGGATTGGAAACGATGAACAAAACTTCTGTGCCTTGCGTTTCGATTCTAGGATTACGCGATTATTCATTATTGTGCGTTCGCTTCCTGGAGTTGGTTCTCAATACTACATAAAAATCATCAAGGATAAATAATTTAATATCCCACTTTGTACTCTTCACGGTAAACCATAGGCTCTGAAATACTCGTAGATTTTTTATTGAAAATACATCAAAGAGAAGCCATGATGTTTTGATCGTGATAAAAGATCACCTTCCTAGGACCGCCCCTGTTTAATAATTCATGAGATGACGTCATATTTACTGGGCATTGCCACGTGTTTTTACCGAC